GATTATACCTTGCTTATTTAGAATAAGTTTCTGTCCATCTCTATGCCCCCAAATGTTAGTGTTATAAGCTCTAAAGAGCTAGAGAAAAACAGAGCTTAGACAGGAGGGGGGGTGGAAGTGTGCGTAGGTTACAATATTCATGCATGGAAGCCACATAGCACCAGGACCTGTGCCTGTCCTTAGAGCATCCCCTATCCATTCTTTACCTGTCATGCCTCAAGAGCCCCAGCTGGCCTACTCTGAATCTAATGACTGACTTAATTGTTGGCTGCAGGATAAGCCAATTCTTATTCTCACACACAGTCCTTAAAGGCCATTTCTTCTTTGTGTGTGTGCAGGGAAAAGTATGCATGTCTTGGATGGAAGTGTATTTGAAGTTTGAAGTTCACACTAGGAAATAAGCTGATGTGATCTGCTTGCTCTCTGCTTAGACAGGCTTTAAGAACAATTGGATTTGCATGGAGGCCAAGCCAGGGAGTGTGTAATAACCAACGACTTGTGGGCAGACGAGTATTTATCCAGGTTGCATTATCCAGATCGATTTGTTAAAGCTCCAGGTCACTTTATTACACTAAGAAAAACATTCGATAAACATGAGACAAGTCTGGGAAAAAAATGAATGAAAGAAGCCTGTCTTACACATACATACGTATAAATATTCATATATCCGTATATACAGAAGATGCTTTGTATAAGGTTTTATGAATGTCCTGTAGTGTCATGTGTTCATTTTTTTTTCCATATTTGGAGAAGACCAGAACATGTGAACATTCTGTAAGGAGGAAAATTCTGGCACACTGGACTGTGATTTCATATGACTGTATCTTAAAGACGTGGTCTCCTAAATGCTACCAATGGTGGGCCAATCAAGAGGAACCAGGACAGAAGATTCAAAATGGCAGATGAAGACATGCTTTCCTGTTTTCTCAAAGTCTGAAATAGATGACAATCACCAACTCATACACAGAGAAATGAGAAAGAGAGAGAACATGGTCTTCACATCTTCAGTGCCTCAGTCCCACTAGCTTGGCCTGCTCCTAGACTTCATGCCTGAGCTTCTCATCCTGGAAATTCCTGTTAAAAGTCTCTTGCTTAAAAATTTTCACTGAAATGTGCTTGTTTTTACTTTTTAAGTGGATGCTGGGACATGTGCTGGCTGGCCTGAGAACTGGAGACTTGGGTCCAGGCCCAACTTTCACAGACTCACCCGCAGCCATGTTTTTGCCCATCTGAGCCTCAATTTACTCATTCATAAGACAGGACTAATATTTACCATTTCCTACTTTCTTTGCCATAACGCTGCTGGAATAATTGAAACAGTAAATGGAAAACATTTTAAGTCCCCTCAAGAGAAGGAAGACTAAGGAATTATGAATCCATGGGAAAAAAAAAAAACAACTGGGGCATCTGGGTGACTCAGTCAGTTGAGCATCTGACTCTTGATTTCAGCTCAGGTCATAATCACAGGGTCAGGAGATCCAGCCCCGCAACCGTCAGGGTCTGCTCAGCACAGTCTGCTTGTCCCTCTCCCTCTGCTCTTCACCAGCCCCCTCTCTCCCCACTCAAGCTTTCTTTCTCTCTCTCAAATAAATAAATAAATAAATAAATAAATAAATAAATAAATAAAATCTTTTAAAAAAAGAAATATTGAGTGCCTACTCTCCTATCCAAAGGATGACTTAGCCACTTTTTGAAATTCCTGGAGCAACTCAGCGAGAAATCCACACATCCCCGATCCCCGCAGGCTGCAAGCTGCTGTGGAGACCCAGCCTCCCTTCCTTCATGACTTTGTATTTTCAGTGTCTCATTAACTAGAGCACAGGGGAATGTGGGGGGTACAAGGTGAGGACCAGAAAAGGTTCCTGCTGTTCACAAGAAGGGAACAAAGTCCTATTACGATTCTGATTTAAGGAATCGTCTTTTTTCTTTTTCCTTTTTTTTTTTTTAAGGGAACCTGTCTGTGTCTTTGGGTAAAGGAAGGAGACAACGGGGACTCTTCAGTGTTTTATCTCTGAGCATTTTCCTGAAACCAAGAGTTGGATGCTCAACAAACTGAGCGACCCAGGCACCCCTCCAAATAGCTTTTATAAGACAGAAGAGGAGAAAGCAGATAGAATGCCACCTCCTATTATTTCACTTACTTGTTGGTAGTGAAAATGACATCACACTACAATTCCATGACACAAAATAAACAGCTGCACTGGGGGCTTTGTGAATGCCCGAGGTACATCGCTTCTGACATCTCTCCAAAGAAACCAAGATGCTGAAGTCCTGCCCAGAGCTTTCCCACCTAAAAGACTGATTGCATTTTGAACCCAGACCCAACTCTTCTGTTCTGCGGAAGGATGTTTTTAACCAGGCTTTCGTGTTAACGTCCTGCTCGTTGAGTGCTCTCAGTCGAGGACAGGCTGCCTCAGAGCCCCCCCAAGACAAAGCAGAGGTACAGAGGGTTGCAGGATCTGAAAGGCAATCCGAAGGGGAGGGGAGAGGAAGGAGAGATGGATGGAAAGAAGGTGGAGAGGGAGACAGGGAGGAGAGCCGGCAAAACTCACGCAGGACAGTCACGTTGCTACACTGTTTTACAGGGGAGCTTTAACCTTTCTGCGCCCCGGCTGCCTAACCTCAGTGCTTCTTTTCCTTTCTGTGTGGCCGCCCACTTCCCTTAAGCAAACAAGGCAAATTACTGAGCATGTTCAGCATGTCACATGCCTTCCTTCCCATTAACCTTAAAATTTGTTTTCAAATGGCAAAAGAGTGTAATTAGCATGAAGTATGATAGGAATTCCTAAACTCAGTGCAATTTAAATGCAGAAAAAAATCACTAGTTCTATAAAAGAAGTGCATGTGAATGTGCAATTTTAACTGCATCATTATAGTGGATCCTCTGGACCAACATCCCAAGGTAAGGAAGGTACTTGCAATGCGGAGTGTCACTTTTCAAACAGGGAGGGGGAGGGGTGATACAGAAGCATCACACCTGGGCAAGTTCTGAATAGCATAGGAATCACCTCACATTAGAAAACAGGGTATTGCTTTCTGAGAACAAACACACTCCAACATCAATCTGTCCCTTCATTGGCTATCATAGGATAAGGGGTGTACATGGTAATTCCAGATCCAAAAATGTTTAAACCTCCTGTAATACCTTATTTAACAGTTAATTTATGATTTAGGTGTACTCTGTGCAGTGACAATATTAGTTTAAATGTAATAAAGGACCTTTCTGTGTGCTAAGCTGTAAAATAAATGTTTGCTTTGAAGTTGGAAACAGAGGTGATATTTTTCTTCCCCCGACAAAGCACACAGAGAATTACCTGTGCTATTTATTAGGAATATGGTGTCCTATTTGTCCCTTATTTCCTAATTCCCAGAGCAAGTAAACCCACAATCCCGTCTTCACAGGAGGTCAGGGCCAACCTCCAACCTCTGTGGACTCTGGCCCTCACGGACATTTCTAAGCAAGATGTACCCACAACCCCAACCCCTTCCAACACTTTCACTATCCCCCCGGACTCTAGATCTTCCCATCACAGTTCCTGCCCCTGAATGAACATCAGGCCAACTGACACACATATTGAGACAACTGTGTGGGTATTCTAGAACTTTTACTTATGCACGTGGTCAAAACAGATTCAAGGTTCTTCAGCAAACTGCTGTTAGAATATTGCTAAAACACCAGACACAGAGTCCCACCCCCACTATTCTGGAGAGAGCTTGTAACTCGCTGATCACACACTTTCAATGACACTGGTCAAAGAATAGTGAGGAAACTGGAAGTCATACAGATGATATGAATAGCAACCAGGAAGATACAGAACATTTTATTACTGGGTCAAACTGGATTAATATGTTGCTTTATTTAGGTTCTTGGTGAAACAGAAAACCACACAACCTTTAACTCATGGCTTGCATTATAATGGGTCCCACTCTCCTCTGGGAGAGGCACCTGACCTCTCCCACCACAAATCTAATCTGCTTCTGATACAAAACCCGTGACACGAGGTGAAAAACACATAGCCCTTAATCAAAGCAACACCTAAATCAGACTACGCGAGAAAACCTCAAGAACCAGACCTATGTTTACCACACCAAAACATGGTATGTCACAGGCCCTCGCATAGAGCCCAGCACGTACAGAGCTGTAAATAAGTATCTGTCAAAATGAAAACTTATAAAGGCTTTCCATTACCAGGTATTTTTCTCACCAACCCTATATGGGGTGTGACCATAATAAAATAGGCTTGTTTTGGGAAGCTTTGTTACAAGAACATCCACACCCAACAAGAAGCCTCCTTCAAAGTGACCCTCAGAAGTAGAATCAGATCCAAACACCACCCTCCTTCAGCCCACTTGCAGATCTTCTTGAGAACATCCTTCTAAATCTGTTAGTGAATACGCTAACTGTATCTGTGATACAGAATTTCTTGCTTTATAATCATGCCTGTTTATTCAAAAAGCTAAGCCAGAATGACATGATGACATACATGCCTTATTCATTGGATTTTGCTTTGAATGACTTAATGCCATTATTTCAAATCTAATCTAGCATACAAAGTGAAGGTTCCCTACCACTAATGTCATTCAAATGAACATCCTAAGCAATTCCAGAATTCCAGATGCAGTTTAGGTGAGATGACCTTGCTGGAGTAAGTGGAGAGCCTCCTACATGGACTACCCTGAGTGGGCATCAAACTCAGAAAATTCTTGGTGCCTGACAATCGACCCCAACAGTTTACTGTCATATTTCATACAAGACCCCAGAGATAATGCTTATGTAGTTTTCCATTCTAGTACCAGATCGCTATAGTATAAATTTGGCTGAGTGTCTTCATTTCTTGGAAACAAAGAGTCGGGAAAATCCATTTTCAGTTTTTCTGAAAAGAATTTAAGAAAACCTCTTTTATGAAACTTATGTGACCTTAGCATCTTATCTTAGAATACACAAATTGAATGAAATGTCATCACATTAAGTACTTTTTAACAAAGAGGTGAATACTTACGCCATGATACCTGAGAGGTGAAACATTTCGGCTGTTATATAGGACAAATAACTGTACAGGAAGACAAAGAGTGGCTCAATCACTCGGATGTTATGCGTGAACCGAGTAGTAAATGCCGCTATAAATCCCAGGAAGATGCCAATCAACACCCCACCAATTCCCACAACAAAGAAGTTTGCAATTCCAGCAAACACGTCAATGGTCTCAATGGTTTTCATCTGGCAAAAAGACTTGAACAAGTTGTACAGGACCTGTGGGAGAAAGAGAACGTGTGGTCAAGACCCCTTCCAACATCCCCGTTCTCACTGCAGCCACAGAAAAATCCACCTGGCCTTCTAACAAGGACATTTCTTCTGTGCCCCCAAGTTGATGACCAGTGGCAATAACCGTATTTAGATTGATACCATCTAAAAGATAATCTTAAAAGACTTGGTTGAGGGGCGCCTGGGTGGCTCAGTTGGTTAAGCATCTGCCTTCAGCTCAGGTCACAGTCTCGGGGTCCTGGGATCGAGCCCCGCATCGGGCTCCCTGCTCGGCGGGAAGCCTGCTTCTCTCTCTCCCTCTGCCTGCCGCTCTGCCTACTTGTGCTCTCTCTCTCTCTGTGTGTCAAATAAATAAATCTTAAAAAAAAAAAAAAAAAGACTTGGTTGCCATCCAACAGGCCCTGCTATGTCACTGATGCTGGGGAAGGAATGGGTCACAGAGAAAGCTGGTCAGTGCTGCTGTGAAGTCAGTTACTTTGCAAGGCTCTCTGGTGGGGTCGTGCCATGGAAGGGGCCCCAGCCATCAGTACAGGTAGCCCACCTGAAGATATCTTCCTCCCAGGGCACTGAGGTCCTACCTCCTCACCCCAAACCCCTCCCCCCACACACATCTGCTATAACATGAGACCCGAAGGAACTTTCTTTCTTTTTTTAAAGATTTTATTTATTTATATGACAGAGAGAGACAGCGAGAACAGGAACACAAGCAGGGGGAGTGGGAGAGGGAGAAGCAGACCTCCCGCCGAGCAGGGAGCCCGATGCAGGGCTCGATCCCAGGACCCTGGGATCCCAACCTGAGCCCAGGCAGACGCTTAACGACTGAGCCACCCAGGCGCCCCCCGAAGGAACTTTCTTAAAGCAAAGAGGCAGCCACCTGTGTTGTGTGAGTGTGTGTGTGTGTGTGTGTGTGTGTGTGTGTGTGTTGTATGTATATGTGCTGTAATTTCATACATATTTTGTCCCTCTTCTAAAGAAATGAGCCCACACGGCTGCTTGGCTTCTGAAACATCCACACAGTCTTTACATAGTCTTCGTTTAATTAAGCTTCAAAAATGCTCGGCACTTCACGTCTGCTGGGAATCTGCTTGCAAACGTGTTTCTAAGGACCCAACTGAGACAGGAAGTGACGGCTGGGTGCCCTACCACATTTTTCACAAAGCCAGCAAAGGAAACAGGAGTCCAGCGGGTGCCCTGCTTCTTCTCACTGGGTTATTTACAGCCAGAATGACCAGGAAAGCTGGCTGTCAGGACACTGGGATGAAGGCCTGTTATGTTACAGGCCATGCTACACCCTTATTTGGTTTCTGAGAAATTCAAATTGAACCCCTTTGTCCATGGTCACACCAAATGTCAGACGCGATACGAGAACCCGGGTCTCCTGACCTTCTGGGTAAGTTTTTCAAGGTCCAGGCATGGGAGAATGAGTCAGGTTCTGACCCTGCTCCACTCTTCGCCTCCCTGAAGGTCCGTCAGAGCCCACCACATTTGCAGGTTTTGTGTCATTTTTCCCTCTTTTCTGCTGGATCGTAAACTCCTCGTGGTCAAGGTTCATTCCTTATTATGATTTGCTTTTTCCATGCTGCCTGGGAGAAGACAATAAAGGTCTGCTGGCTTTGAAGAAAGCAGCAGATTAGGACTTAGAAATGAATGAGCTTTTCTTTTCTCGTAATCGCAGGTATGACATTTGAGAGCATTTTGGTATTGTACCACCAGGAAATGACTTGAGTAAAAAGAAAAAAGAATAAAAAAAAAAAAAGCAACTCCTTCCCCTGAGGATTTAAATTCGTTGAGAGTATCATCATTTGCCAGAAAAGAAACTGACTTCAAGTAGCTGCCGCTTCCCACTTCCAACCAGAGGCCTGCTGCACGTGGGATTCCGTCAGCCTCAACATGCTGTGGTCGCTTCCGGCGCCGGGATCAGAGATGTGCTATATATACCCCTTGTCTCCAAACAGCCAAGGCCGAAGGGGGACGGTCACCTGCTGCCAGTAGAGAGAGGCAGGCTTCCCCCCGCCCCAGCTATCTCTGCACAGCCTCCCTCCTCCCCCAGGCCATTTGGTCACTGCAGTTCTGTCCCCCAACTCCCAGGCTTCTGTCCTCTCTGACTCCCGTCTGCACCAGCAAATCTCAGCTCACTCTTGCTCGAATGACCCCTGCGGCCAACACAGGCCTCACTTCCTTTAAATACTGCTATTCCATTTGTCACTCTCAAGTCTAAAATCCTTGACTTTGGGAAGGCTCAATACACCTGGCTTTTGTTGTTGTTCTTGTTTTGTTTTTTTTGGGTTTTTTTGTTTTTGTTTGTTGGTTTTGTTTTTACTGCTTTCCAACACCCTTCAGTCTGGGAGAGGATCTCATCACAGCTCCACAAAACATAATACCGTAATTCCCCACTGCTCCTGCTTTCCTTCTTGTGGTTTCTCTTGGCAGGAAACCAGTCCCTACACCCAGGGAAACTTTGTCCATCTTCCAGGGCCCATCTGAAGCCACTGCTCTTCTCAAGAGCCTTCTTGAACTCCTACAGCCCCCGCAAATCACCTTCACCTCTGCCCTCCCGCAACAAAGATGATCTCCCAGACCAGTCAGGCTTCGGGGAAAGGCCATCTCCCTCGTGGACGCCGCCTCCTGGGTGCCTACCCCATTGCCCCAGCAAAATTAGAGAGTGCTCATGCACAGGACCCAGATCTCTTCCTCCTCCTCCCTCGGCTCTCCCGTTCCCACCCCATTGAGCACTTTTATGAGGCCTCCAAAGGAGGCTCAGGCCCGTGTCCCTGAGGAACAACTGACACACAGTCATAGATTTTCCAGAGGCATTTTCCTGGCAACTCAATCCATCAAACCGAACAAAGAGACATGCTGGTTTCAATAGCTCTTTGGGTTTTGCAGAGAACAAAGAGGAGTCACAGGCACTGTACTTTCAGCACACGGGGAAGAAGCTCCAGTTAGACCATTCTACTGCTTCGGAGGCCAAGTCAATGTTACAGGGTAACGTCTTAGGTAGAGACGTTGCCTTGACAACCAGAAGGCTTTCCACATCCTCCCACCTGCTTTACACTGAACCTGATACCCAGTGATCAGCACAAGATAAAATTCTTTTAGTTACCGCTGGCTATAACCCATAGTTAGTTCATTCCCGTTAAATGCTTTAATGGTATCACAAGGGAATCTATGTCGGAAAGTGCTTCTGGAGTTATAATTTCTATATGCATGTGCATGTGCATATGTACTATGTATGCTGGCTACAATTATGTCTCCAGTTGGTCTGTGTAAAGTTGACCTCAACTTGTCAACTGCATTTTTCAAAGACCAAAATACCAGCACTGCCTATATTTTGTAGTGGGCTAATTTGGCCATTGAGGGAAGGGGAAAGGAAAAGCACTTTCAAATCATTCTACTCATTATTGTGATTTTTAAAATACTTATACAAGCACCCAGCGAGCTCAGGTGGTAGAGTAGGAGACCCCTAAAATACTTATGTGTTATAAGAATTAGAAATTATCTATTTGGACCTTTGATTTAAAAGGTGCAAGAACTCAGTGAAATCATGTAACACAAAGATGCAAACAATATAGAATTTTTTATCAGAATAGCTGTTCCAGAAAAAATTAGTTTTGGGGTCACTTTTTTTTTATATGAAATACAAGAAACAGTCATTTTTGCCTAAGGAATTTAAAATATATTATGCAACTTGCAAGAGCAAAAAAGAGTACCAAGTGGTTACTGTTTACCTTCCAACTTCCTGAAGTTAAATTCCAGTGCACAGCACATAATGCCTGGACCATAAAGCCCAGCCCGAGCCTGGTTCCATAACCAAGCCTCATTATGACAGATTGAGGAAATTCTTTTAAGTGTTCTTGGAAAATGTATTAGATTATTCAATGGTTGCATTATTAACATGTTCTAGAAATGATGTTGGAAATTACCATACGAACATAAGCCATTTGATCCTGGACTACCGTGGAGTGGCAGGACTGATCTGATAACTGAGAACCTGAGCAATTTTTGCCTAATATTTACACTAAGGGAAAGCACAAAAATCCCATTTAAAAATCTGACCTTTGTTCCTTCAGCTGTCCTTTCTGCAGTTGATTCCAATCTACTGTAACCTTGGACACAGGCACAGTTGGACGGCGATTTATATATTATCAATTTCTCTTTGCACTGAGACATTTTTATGGTAGATTTTCTCCCCTTCACTCTGCTACCTCAATATTGAATCTCCCATGATTTGGGGACGGAAGTAATTGCATGCGCCTATAATTTTACTCATCCTCCAGACTACATTTTTAACACGAATCTTTTCTGTTTAATCTTCACCCTTCTAGTTGCAACTCCTAGTGACTCATCATTTTCACTGTAGGCAGCAGGGTCCATACTTTTCATGCCTTCCCTTACCCCGTGAGTTCCTTAAACCTCTCCTAGAGATAAGACTAGACGTCAAAGAATCTTTCACAAAACATCTCAACCTCTGTACTCTGAGGGTACCTCACAAGGAGGCAAATGATCATTTTTTACAATGTTCTAATTCTTCCTAACACCAGATCCGTTCAGTCCACTATTCAGCCAATTCAAGGAATATAATACCTGGTGGTTTATTCTTCAGCTTTAGGTAGGTAAAAGCAGATAGCCTTGCTCTCTTATGGGTGTGGCTTTAAGGGTCCACAGGCTTTGAGCCCAGGGTATCTAAACTGAGGAAGGCTCATTCACTGGAAGCCGTTACTGTCATTCTGACTTACAAGCTTTGGCCTTGTAACAAGGGATTCCACATCTAAAGAGCAGCCATGTCCTTTCTCTGTCCTTGCCCTCCTTCCTGTATTGGAGTGGCGCCCTCAATTTGGCCCACTGCCCTCTTTGGATCAGGCCTCCCTCTCTGTCCATAAAATCATATTTGACAGCTTGGGCCTCTTGACAGGAAGCACCGATACGCCCCTGGAAAGCCTGGGGCCTTCACACAGTTTGAATGGTGGTTTAGCCAGACTGTTTCCTCAGATCTGATTATTGACAAGCTCAAAGAATGGACACTGAGGTGTCTGACTGAGAAATTTAAGAGACGAGAGCAGTGTAAAGGCAGGGCAGAGCACTTTAAAACTGAGCTGGCTTTGCTAGACTGCCCTAGAAGGAGTGCAGCACGGGGTTATTATTTCTTTATAAAGTTTCTTATACATGAAGGGGATCCAAGAAATCCTCATGAAAATGTCCGTGATCTACCTCAACAAGGGTAACATGTATACAGCAAACATAAGTCACAATGAAAACCTTGAAGCCTCTGGAAATTAGAATAAATTATAAAATGTCTTCACTGCTATGGTACTTTCCCAGTGAAAATTTAATATTGGTTAAGTTAATGACTAATCACTGTTAATGCATAATGGAATAAACGAAGTGTATTTTGTTACCTGAGTGAGGAACCTTAGCTGCCTCAAAACAGCTATCTTAGCGGCTATTCTAAAACATGGGATTTCCTTATCAATAAATTACTTTCTACCTAATAACGTCCACATGGAGCTAAGGGACATCCTTCAAGACGATATTTTATTCCATTCATAAGCTAATAAGGAGTGATGCTGGTTTCTATGCTGACTTTTAAGTGAATCCGGAATAATATTTTAATGAGAGGAACTAATGAAGGGGGTAATACAAATTAGTTAAGTTACTTAAAAACACTTAATTTTTCTCTGCCTCAACTTTCTTACCTACCAAATGGGAAAAATAATTACTACATAGGTTGCACAAAGACCCAAGCACAAGGTAGGCATTCACAAGAGATTAATGGCTCCGTTGAACAACTCTCACCATCACCTCCGCGGAATGGTGGCTAACATAATAAAACAGCATCACTGGGGCTCGCTCACCGGTTTCCCCAAACAGGGTCACTGGAGTGTCTTTCACCGGGGGAAGAGCATTTTGTAGGCCCGTGGGTGGGGGAGACGCTTCCTCCTCACTGCTCTGTACTTTGCCTGAGCTCAGAAAGTGGGGCGGAGGTAAATTCCACGAACATGAAGATCACAACAGCCTCTGACTCTAATTATGTGTTAATTAGTGAGAGTCAAAAATAAATGAGCATTTTCTGAATAAATACCCACTTAAGGGAAAATCGTGGGGACCAGAAATAAGCTAGCTGAGTAGAACAGAAAATGAGAGTGTAATGAAAAACTGGCTTAAAATCAGAAAATAATTAATAAACCCTCCCCAGACACAGAATGGCACTTGGTGGGTGCTGTCACTTCGCTCCTGTTATACATGTTCACTCCTGACAGCATCACATCGCATGGAGAATTCCGAAGGACCTGAAGTCCTTTAATTCTGATCAAAGACCATCACTTTTGAAAATGCCAACTGAGAAAGCCTCAGAGATAGGAAAGGTCACAATCACTTTTATCCTCCTCTGGTACCAGCAGGACCTTGCAAGCGGGACCAGCTACACAGTCTCTGCAACCTCACGCAACACGAAAATGAGGGGCCCGTTGTATAATAATCAATAAAAAATAATCAATAAAAAAATTTCACAAAGCATTTCAAGACCGCAATGACAGAGCATTAAACCAAGTGAGGGGCCCGTCTGAGAGCAGGGCTGAGTGACTGTCCAGGTGTGCGTGGCGCCTGCAGGTTCTCCCCTCAGCTGTCACTGTCAGAAAGCTGATGCAGACTGAGGGTGGCCGGTGGTGTTGGAGTGACGCAGCGTGAACGAGTTACTCACCACTGTCACTGCATCATTCAGCAGGGACTCTCCAAAGACCAGGATGTAGAGCTGCTCGTTGACGTGAATGTTCTCGAAGACGGCGAGCACAGCCACTGGGTCCACAGCTGAGATCAAGCTGCCAAAGAGCAGATTCTGGAGCAGAGTGATGTCACTCAGGCCAAAGGCTTCAATTTGGCAGATACCATACAAAGACACCCCAATGCCAATGGAATTCCAAAGGGTCCCTACCACAGCATACCAGAAAATGGTGCCAATGTTCTCAAAGAACGGGCGAGTAGGCATGAAATAGCCTGCGTCGAGCACGATGGGTGGGAGGAGATACAAGAAAAACACATCAGTCTTCATTGCGGGGGGGGACTTTTCATCGACCCCAAAAATAATCCCTCCTAGCAGCAGGCCAACCATTATAAGGAGGCAGCTCTCAGGCACTATTGTGGGCAACTTGTGATACAGATGGAAGCCTGTGAAGGAAAAACATAAAGACAAAGCATTTGGGGTGTGCAAGAATTAGGGCGAAGATAAACTGGTTCTCTTTGCTGGAACCGACAGATTCTATTTCAAAACCTCCCGGGTCAGCATAATTGGCTACAGAGAATGACGTAAAAGTCAGATGACCTTAAAACTATTCACGAAGCACGGGCAGGCACAAATGCAACTTTATATCAGAAGCTGAATGATACAGGTACATCATACTTAGCACAGCTGTTGTCTAGATTCTAATGAAGTTTTCTCAAATAAGACCACGCGATTTTATATTTGAGGCAGTTTTGTGATTTCCAACACATTTTCAAAGGTGACGTCTCATTTCATCCTCATAAAAACTTTAGGAGGAGGCAGGGAAGTTATTTTCACCTTTTTAAGTTCTTTGATTTAAGTGGAGACTGAGGCTCAAAGAGATACAGGGTCTTGTCGAGGTGGCCGGATCACACACCAGCTTCCAGGCTACCACTGTCCCCTCCAGGCTTGATAAGAGTTTGCAACTTATTTAATATTTTTAATTTCAGGGGCGCCTGGGTGGCTCAGTGGGTTAAGCTTCCGACTCTTGATTTCGGCTAGGGTCATGATCTCAGGGTCGTGAGATTGAGCCCCGCGTCGGGATCTGCAATCAGTGGGGAGTCTGCCTGAGATTCTCTCTCCCCCACCTCTGCTCCCCTCCCATTGCATGTGCTTGCTTTCTCTCTCTCTCTCTCAAATAAATAAGTCTTCTAAAATTTTTTTTAAATTTCAGACTATTTCACTTGGAATGCTAAGTATGTTTAATTTTTCAGAGGTCTGCTCCTTCAGAAACAACCAAATCAATCCTTCAAAGGCACTTCAGGTAATTACTACTTAAGGGATATAAACCACCATGATCTCCAGTCTCAGAGTTTCTAATCAAGGCAAAGGAACTGATGTGTTTATGACCTACTCTAACATAGGACACCGTGTGATGAGGTCCCAGACAAGCTCTAGGGGAGTGGAAAAGGAGGAAATCAGGAAGGACATCATGGAGGAGGCAGCATCTGGCAGGGCTTCCTGAAAGGACAGACATTAAATACACAGAGAAGGCATGAAGAGCCTCCTAGGAAGTGAAGAAATGGAGGAAAATACCCATCTCCTAATTCATGGTGGACCCCAGTGGGGCTTTAATGCAACGACAATGTTAGGGGGAGGCCGGCAGCAGGGGAAGAGGAGAGGACTGTGGGTTGTTCCAGCACATGCGGTAACGTGAGGAGCAACGTCACACAGGAAGGTCACCTGACAGGGCTTAAGTGAGGACGGCCCTTATTTACAAGGCAACGGCGAGCCATCCTGCAGGAACCTCATACATTTTAGAGTTAAAGCAGCATATGCAAGTTATCTGAATTACGGAAACACAGTATTAAAATGCCAGAATGAGTCTTAGAAACGTAGCATCACAGCAAGTTTAAAAAGTCAACCCTTAAAGGTCTACACACTGTACTAAAGACACGGCATGGCATAGCTTATGAAAAACAACAAAAAAGTAATCATAATAATTTGAAGCGATTTCAAGAATTTCTGGATAATAAAGTGAACACCTTTATACTGGGATTCAAGTCATCCCACCCTCACTGATCATGTTCTTATTCATATTATAGAGGGCTCCAATCACTGTTGGGGAATAAATGTATTCAGCTGGTTCAACCGCTCTTTACCCATGACCTCTGCCCTGCTGACCTCTGCTGAACAGAGACATTGAAGAAAGTCCCCTGAGAACCCTGTCTTTGGAACCTCTTCTCCCACTGAGCCCTGCTTCGCCATGCAGCGTTCCCTGGGTGATAAGGGTGTGCCTGCCCATAACAGCCCCCTCGAGTCCAAGTGAAATCAGCTCCTTTCTGGAAGGCAGGGCATGAAGACCCAACGTGAAGGCGCCATGTGTGCCGTGGGCCTTGCTGGCCGCTATATGATGACTGCCCCCGACCTCGGATCCAGTACCCCCCACGCTGCTCACAACTGTGGAGAGGCTACCACCAGGCCCGGGCCCGGTTTGCTCACTTGCAAAATGGGGACACACGCACCCGCCACGTCAAGGGCTGTAACCATAAGGAGGTACCACTGTGCCTGTGACGTCACGAATGCCCCCCAGTTGCGGTTTCCTCCACCCTCTCCCACATGAAGACACAAGGGAAAACGGTTCTGAAGAAACGCACAGAAGCAAGGGACAGGCTCCTCTGCAGACAGACTGGAGAGTGAGCAAGGCCTCTCCCTGGCAGTTCCCACTTCTCTGCTGGCCTCTCACTTTCCTTTTCCTGCCATCCGGCCCCATGTACCCAGGGCTCTCGTGTGGGGTACCATCTCCTGTCATTGGGCTGCAAGGAGGTCCTTATTCCCAAGGACGGAGGGTGGGAAACACGGTCAAAGGGAGAAAGGCAGAAACAGACGCTGCGTCTGTGCATCTCGCAGGATGACGCCTGCCACAGTCCAGCACAGTGACGGAACCTGACCAGGAATGGGGAGAGCAGAACAGCACCAAGCAGAGCCCAGAGAAAGGCAGCAACAGATATCCAGGATGGCCTGAGACAGAAGGGCCACTGGGACGGGAGGTGGGGGGACATCTGGCCCCTGATGGGATATTTCGCAACATATACACTAGTAGGAAACAGTAACATATAAATGAGCAGCAAATATCAGAAAAGAACAGCAACAAACCAACAACTGTTGTTTAAAAAGATCCTATGTTTACATTTTGAAAACACTCTTCTCCTTTCTTTTATGAATGCTTCAGTGACTCCAAATTGGCCCGAGTGACCTTTGCTTGAAACTGGATGGTAGTTAATGGATCTGCCCAGTTGTTCCAGGAGCAAGGAGGGATTCAATGAAGGGTAGTCACCCGAGATCTTACTTCTGTGCTTTTTTTGATGACCATAAAGCAGAGACACCAAATCTTCTAACATGCTCTCTGCGGGCATGGAAGGTTTGGTGTGTCAGTGTGTATGGTTTTACAAATGACAGGAGTCAAATGTAGTAGCAAAATAATTAATCAAAAGTCTTCTTAAATTTCATTGTTCACAGAATAAAACAAGTGAATCAACATTTGCAAATGTGCATTCACTTATGGCTGTCCCCCCCCCCCAACTATTCCTTGGAGGGTAAATGAACTTGAATAGACAGAACTGGTTCTCCAGAGTTGTTATCTCATCAAAATGTTATGGAGAAATAGATCAGTTATCAGGAAAAACAAAATGAAGTTTTTGATGGTTTTTACAAGGCTGAACGTGAGCTACCGTAAGTACAATTTACTGCTCAGTCCAGGGGTCAGCTAACTTTTTTCTATCAAGGGCCAGATAATAAATATTTCCAGTTCGCAGGCCATACTTTACTCTGCTGTCATAGCACAAAAGGAGCCAGAGATAATACCTAAGTGTACGAGGGGCTGTGTTTTTTTTTTTTTTTTT